CCGCGAGGCATCAGCAAACAAACCACGTGCTTGCGTTTGGAAAGAAATTGAACAGAATCTCCCCCTTTGAGGCGACGGAAAGTTGGAGTGACTACAGGCATGAATGAAGGAAAGCCCTGAAGTTTGTCTTATCCCTGAGTTTGTGGACTTTAAGCTTTTTGGGAAGACCAGTTTAGTGTAAATAATGGCTTTGGCCAATCCACTCAGTTTGTCTGAGGCAGACGTGAAGCTTTCACTGGGACGTGGCTGTCGGTTGGTTTGCTTGGATCCGAATGGAAGCACGTCCTTCAAAAGTGTTGGCCAAATGGCGCTGCAGGGCTACGGGCTGCTGCTCAGTTGCTGGTGCAGAGTCTTCTGGCGACTTGGCAAAGGCGCATCTGACAGACTGAGCAGCTTCCGGCGAAGCGCAACATGGAACTGCCTTATAGTTTCTCAGAAGCGTCCGAAATGTTGGTTTGAAGGATGTATAAATCCGGACGGTCGCCGGTCGGGTCGTGTTTTCCTGTGAGCCTTGGTGGCTTCTCAAAGCTACTGTGAACTCCAATGAAATGGAGGTGCTTCCTCAAATCCGGGGCATGATGCATTGCAGTCGCTCATTCTATTGATTGGGTTGCTTTGACTTCTTTGCTGCGGCTCCAACTCACGGTCTGAAAGTTCAGTCTGCTGGAGGGTTGATGCTGGCATGGTTTCTGCGACTAAGGACGGCATCCTTGGCTCCTGCAAAAGCACCGCTCTTGTCACCATCTGCTTTCTCTACTGTGGCTTGCTTTGATTTCTGGCACACACTTGGGAGACGATGTGTTTGTTTCTTAAGAAACGTCGGAAGTGCGCGCCCCTTAATCCTTCTTGACGGAATCCCCCTAAAGGAATTGTTTGCCCCAGGGACTTAGTAAGCAAAGGGACATGGTTCACGGGAAACCTCCCTGGCCTAGGCTTAGGCTACACCTGCATGTACTTGCTGGGCGCGTGGCGCCTGGCCGTAGCAATCGGGGGCTGCTGGGCTACCGTCGCGCGCTGCTCGTGCACGTGTTGGTGTGCTTCTTGAAGAACCCGAGCTGCCAGGCAGCGGGGGGTGGGAATGGTTGGGCTCTTGAAATGGCATGTGCAAACCTCAGTTGAATTTCTGGTGCAACCAACGCCCAGCGGGGGGGCCCAGCGGGGGGGAGGGGAATGTATGTAATACGTTTTCCATCGAACCTAAGAAAGCGAGGGCTTGGGCCTGAAGGCTTTTCAAGGACTGGTGGAGCGAGCGTCTGCTAGTTACACCAAGTAGCGCGCACGAGTCGCCAGCATCACCAGCATTACCAGCTTTGACGAATTAGCTAATTCGTCGCGCGAATGGCCGTCGCCGTGATCTACGGACTGCATTGCTGGCATCGCCAGCATTACCGCAATGAATTCTCGCAAGAACAAGGGCTAGCTGGTTTGTCACAATAGCCAAGCCCGGGAAAAATCAGGAGCGGGACCTGGCCAAGTATAGGCGATGGTCAAGTCTTTGCGAAGTCGTCGCAAGGACACTGAGAAAAGTGGAGCGTGTCTGCACCAAGACGCCGAATCCCTGGACCAAATTGAGTACATACGCCAAGCTTCACTGCTTGCTATCTGCTTCGAGGCACCCCTGCCCCGATGTTCTCACCTCTGTTCTCGCCGGCCTGCCGGGAAACATCTTGCAACAAATCCGACACTCGTCACTTGTTCCTCGCGATGCTGGCGGCAGCCTTCTTTGCAACAAAGTATCTCAATCGCATAAAGCCTCGCAACTTTAAAGCCCAGCCCCGCTCCAAGGCAGTCCCTTGCAGAATCAACTGGCTCTCTCCCACACATGGCTTTCAAATCAGCGCTCCCCTGCATTTAAATTTTGGTCAGCCTGCGGCTATCGGTCTGACGCAGCGGCGGGCAAAGCGAAGCCACAGCTTGCATTGCTTCGAGTGCTCTGGGTAAACAAGCCTGTTTGCCAGGATTCAGCATACTTGTTGCGGGGGCTCCATGTATCCGAGTGTGGATCGACTTGAACCTTGGGCGGAGCAGCAACTCGAGGGCCCAGCTGGGACCGGCTGCTCGGTTTCGCTAAGGAGCCCTGTTGCGCCTTGCTTACGGTGAATGAAAGCTCGCGCCTCTCAGCATGGCGCTGCGACGACAAGTTGGTGGTGATTGTGTTTGAAGCAGCAGAGACATGACACGACAATTAGCCCCTTGCCTGCTTGAGCTAAACGCCGCTCTCTTTCGAACAAATGCGTCCTAGGGCTCATATCCAACAGTGCCTTGATTGAGAGCCACTTGAAAGCAGTGAAAACACGCACTTTGTCTTTTCACACTTTGTCTTTAGGGCATGGGCCTCTAGAATCGCAGGGCAATGCGCAACACCAAATTTGAAAGCATCCCAACACTGAGCCTCAAACTCGCGGACCTTGCCAAGTCCATTTGCAGCCACGTGCTTCTCTATCTACACTTGCACGAACCTTCCATAAGGCTGTGGCCGTATATAGGGGTCACTTGTTCTTACGCCCGGTGGCTTAAGAACGAGTAAAGGCCAGCCGGAGCAAGTGACCTGGCCACTTGTCTGCTAAAGTGCCTATTTACAACAATGGCAGTTTCTTTGCAAGCTTGGCGGCGAAAAACAGGCAGCCGCTGACAAAAAACAGATTAAGCGCTCCATTACAGAAAGTTCTTGCTGTTGTTGCTGTTGCTTCTGTTGCTGCTGTTGCTGCTGTTGCTGCTGTTGTTGCTGTTGTTGCTGATGTAGTTGCTGTGGCTGTTGTTGTTGCTGTTGCTGTTGTTGCTGTTGCTGTTGCTGTTGCTGTTGTTGGGTGTTGTTGTTGCTGTTGCTGTTGTTGCCGGAGTGTTGGTGTTGGTGTTGGTGTTGGTGTTGTCGCTGTTGTTGTTGTTGTTGTTGTTGTTGTTGTTGTTGTTGTTGTTGTTGTTGTTGTTGTTGTTGTTGTTGTTGTTGCTCTTGCTCTTGCTCTTGCTCTTGCTCTTGCTCTTGCTCTTGCTCTTGCTCTTGCTCTTGCTCTTGCTCTTGCTCTTGCTCTTGCTTGCTCTTGCTCTTGCTCTTGCTCTTGCTCTTGCTCTTGCTCTTGCTCTTGCTCTTGCTCTTGCTCTTGCTCTTGCTCTTGCTCTTGCTCTTGCTCTTGCTCTTGCTCTTGTTCTTGTTCTTGTTCTTGTTCTTGCTCTTGGTCTTGTTCTTGTTCTTGTTCTTGTTCTTGTTCTTGTTCTTGTTCTTGTTCTTGTTCTTGTTCTTGTTGCTGTTGCTGTTGCTGTTGCTGTTGCTGTTGCTGTTGCTGTTGCTGTTGGTGGTGGTGTTGCCGGTGTTGCTGGTGTTGCTGGTGTTGGTGGTGTTGGTGGTGTTGGTGGTGTTGGTGGTGTTGGTGTTGTTGGTGTTGTTGGCGTTGTTGGTGTTGTTGGCGGTGTTGGCGTTGTTGGTGTTGTTTGTGTTGTTGTTCTTGTTGTTCTTGTTTTCTTGTCGTTGCTCGTTGCTCATTGCTTGTTGCTTGTTGCTTGTTGTGGTTTGTGGTTTGTGGTTTGTGGTTTGTTGTGGTTTGTTGTGGTTTGTTGTGGTTTGTTGTGTGTTGTTGTGTGTTGTTGTGTGTTGTTGTGTGTTGTTGTGTGTTGTTTCCTGCTTCTTGCTTCTTGCTTCTTGTTTCTTGTTGTTGTTGGTGTATTTGTTATTATTGTTGTTGCTGTTGCTGTTGCTGTTGCTCTTGTTGTCGTTGTCTTGGTCGTTGTCGTTGTCGTCGTGGTTGTTGTTGTTTTTTTTTTTTGTCTTGTTCTTGGTCTTGTTCTTGGTCTTGTTCTTGTTGCTGGTGCTGGTGCTAGTGCTGGTTTTGGTTTTGGCGTTGGTGGTGTTGGTGTTGTTGGTTTTGTTGGTGTTGTTGGTGTTGTTGGTGCTGTTGTTGCTGTTGTTGGTGCTTGGTGCTTGGTGTTGGTGTGGGTGTTGGTGTGGGTGTGGGTGCGTTGGTGCTTTGGTGGGTTGGTGGGTGTGGGTTGGTGGGTTGCGGGTTGGCGGGTTGGCGGGTTGGCGGGTTGGCGGGTTGGTGGGTTGGGTTTGGGTTGGGTTTGGGTTGGGTTTGGGTTGGGTTTGGGTTGGGTTTGGGTTCGGTTTGGGTTTGTGGGTTGGGTTGGTGGGTTGGTGGGTTGGTGGGGTGGGTTGGTGGGGTGGGTTGGTGGGGTGGGTTGGTGGCTTGGTGGGTTGGTGGGTTGGCGGGTTGTTGGTGGGTTGGTGGGTTGTTGGTGGGTTGTTGGTGGGTTGTTGGTGGGTTGTTGGTGGGTTGTCGGTGGGTTGTTGGTGGGTTGTTGGTGGGTTGGGTTGTTGGTGGGTTGGGTTGTTGGTGGGTTGGGTTGTTGGTGGGTTTGGTTGTTGGTGGGTTGGTGGGTTGGTGGCTTGGTGGGTTGGTGGGTGGGTTGGTTGGTTGGTCGGTCGGTTGCTTGTTTGGTGGTTTGTTGGTTTGTTAGTTGTTTGGGTGGTTGGTTGGTCGTTTGGTGGTGCTGGTTCTAGTGCAGAACGACAGTCATTGAATTTGATGAAAGCAAAAGCGGGCTCAAACAAGTCCGCAACTGGAGAAACGTGCACATCTTGGAATCCTCAGGCGCTGGCGCTGATGTGGGGCTCCAAGCTGCGGAGCTTTTGGTGACTGCTGGCTTCGAAAACTCGACTTGAAGCACGCTATTTGCAGTGCTCAGGAGACTCTGTCAGGGAAAAAGCTCGGCTGGTTGCTGACGGCAGCCCAAAAAGTCAGCAATTTCTTGACGGCAGACCCACTAGCTTGCGTGCGGCATCGGAGCGCGTTTCCGCCTAGTGCTTGTTTTTGAGGGGCGACAAAGCTGAGGTCTGGGAGGGTGCTTGGTGAGCCAGGACCAGACGTCAGGAGACTCTTCATGCGGCTCAAAGCACTGCACAGGGAGACGCCGAGTGCTTGTGAGTCAATCATTGTTGAAAAGACAAGCTGTTGGTTGATTTTTGGGCATTTGCTTGGAGACATCAGCTGCAACGATTGGCGGTGATTCATCCCTCTGGTTGGCCGGAGATCTCGTTGGGCTCCGCCTGGGCGGCCATCAATTTTCCGCCGCCTGCCATGCGCCGCGTGGAGAAGTCGTTCCTGGCCCAGAACACAACCGTGCGACCCCAGTGCCTGCCGGATGCGCGGCAGCAGTGCATGTGGTGGAGTCTTCAGTTGCTGAGCCTCAGCTGCAGGCCACTGGCGGAGATTGGTCATTGAAGGGAAACGATGATAAGCTAGTAGCGTCTCTTATGTCAGGGCGCACGAAAGCGTCAGCCGGCAAATGTTTCAAGTAACGGTGACTCCTGAGGCGCGGGACTGTTGGCTCGTTTTAGAGTGTGAGCACGCACTGGCAACATGGGAGGGAGGACAAATCATTCTCATGACATCCTCTTAATCCAAGCATGACACGAACAATACCTCAGCGATGGGCAACATTGACTGATGTGGTATAATATTGTTGGACACTTGCATGAAAGGTGAAGTCAGAAAGCGGATGCCCCCGACTTCCGAGGAGGGCGGTGGCCCCTTGGCGCTTCATTTGGGCCTCGGCAGATCTGGCAAACCTGCGACGCTACTGCCCCTCCAAGGAGGTGCTGCCTTTGCCCACCTGCCAGGGCCCTGAGTGGGAGATAGTGTGTTGCGACATGTCGCGTTTTGCGTAGGCGGCAATAGCCAATCAAAGCTGGAGCGTTGTGAATTTGCGTGTTTTATCCACAATGGGGAAATGACATGGACTACACTTGCTGGATTACTATCATATCAATTTGGTAAACCAAGAATAGCATGTGTTGCTCAAGTCGGCAACAGTCAAGCAACAACTGCAGAGTAAAGGCAACAGCTTGTCTTCTTTGAGTGGTGGGTGTCTCGCAAGCAGTCCTTAAACGTATTACCAAACACGGTGTTGTCACGTGTTATAGCTTTGGCAGCTTGAGTTTAACCTCTGCGGAAGGTTTGAAGGCCCTCTACGAGAGAGTGTTTTTTTTCTTGGCCTAGGCCGCTAGGCATCCGACAAATGCCATACACCCATTAGTTCCGACCACTCTTGCTGTTATAGGCTTCTGCATCGCGAGGGGGAAGGGAAGTTGTTTCCGGCGGACCTCAGGTTCATCTTCTTCGTGCCGATCTTGCCTCGTCACTATTTCCTTTCTCTGTCTATCTCCTTCTTTCGTATCTTTCTATCTTATGTTTTTTATGGTTTCCAGATCCTTTATCAAAATGTGTTTTCCCTCTGTATTTTGGTATCTTGGACGTGTCAATGTAATATAGACAAATCATATAAAAGAGAATCAATAATCTGGTTCATCTCTTGCATCGTGCTCTTCATCAAGAGTTATCGGTTGGACGAGTGAAGGGCGAGTCTATCCTTCAGTATTGTAGTATTCATCTCTTTCAACCTGGAATCGCTTCTGGTCATCTTCTTCCTTAGCTTCTATCTTCTGGAAAATACGTTAGAAATTTCCAGAAGAAGATGACCAGAAGCGAGGGTACAGTTTAACTGGAAGAAGGGGGATTGACATGGGTGTTCCCCAAATGCGAAGCGAGTAGGGACATGTCGTACTTAGGATATCCTTGGTAAAAAGGGAGCGATTCAGACGAGTTGTTAGAGGGGGCCACCTGCATGGCCTCGAAACGCTTGGTATCCGGGGTTGTGTTTTGCCTTTCCATCTCTGACCCTCAAGGAGTCAAAGCTTGGGAGATCCGAGCCCAGGTGGAGAAAGGGGGTGAACCTCAGCTAGCTCCCAAACCATCCAAGCTGACAGCAATGTGCGTGAGGGCACCAGATGTTGCACACACAGTCCCAGTGTTCCTGGCCAGAGCGGTTTTCTTGTCCTCTCTGCGTGTGTGTGTGTTGCGTGTGTTGCGTGGTGTGTGTGTGTGTGTTGTGTCTGTGTGTCTGTGTGTTGTGTGTGTGTTGTGTGTGTTGTGTGTGTGTGTGTTGTGTGCGTTGTGTGTGTGTGTGTGGTGTGTTGTGTGTGTGGTGTGTGTGTGTGTTGTGTGTGTGTGTGTGTTGTGTCTGTTGTGTGTGTTGTGTGTGTGTTGTGTGTGTGTGTGTTGCGTGGTGTGTGTGTGTGTGTGTGTGTGTGTGTGTGTTGTGTGTGTGTTGTGTGTGTTGTGTGTGTTGTGTGTGTTGTGTGTGTGTTGTGTGTGTGTGTTGTGTGTGTTGTGTGTGTTGTGTGTGTTGTGTGTGTTGTGTGTGTTGTGTGTGTTGTGTGTGTTGTGTGTGTTGTGTGTGTGTTGTGTGTGTTGTGTGTGTTGTGTGTGTTGTGTGTGTTGTGTGTGTTGTGTGTGTTGTGTGGTGGCGGGGCGGCGGGCAGGCGGGGTGGTGGGTGGGTGGGTGGGTGGGTGGGTGGGTGGGTGAGTGGGTGGGTGGGTGGGTGTGTGGGTGTGTGGGTGTGTGGGTGCGTGGGTGCGCGTGCGCGTGTGCTTGTGCGTGTGCGTGTGCGTGTGCCTTGTTTTTTCCCGAAAAGTGCAATGTTGTATTAAATGCTAAAAGACAATGTTTGTGAGCTGTATGATTAGATGGGCTTGCTGAGGGTGGACACCACCACGGAAAGGACTTCACGAACCACTCATGTTCAGCCATTAGCGATCCACAACAACATATATATATATATATATGTTTGCAGATATCTCAAAGTTTGGTTGTGTGTGTGTGTGTGTGAAAATTACTGTTTGCGCATCTCGTCCTGTCACGGGGCGCCTACCCAACTAAAGGCGTGTGTGGAGGTTTCCCGCCATGTTCAATGACTGGGCAACCAAATCAAACGTGTTTCCGCAAGAGGTCTAACAATGCTGCTGATCGTATATTGCGCAAGCGCTAAGCTCGTTCGGATTGTGGAGAGTTGCATCACTTCCTACAATATGCCTATAAGGACACTCCACTGTCATTGCTTCCTACATTAGCTTTGTCAAATGTCCACAACTGCTGTGCAAGCAGAATCAATTGACTCGAATAATTCGTAGAACCGCCTGAATTAGCTAGCAGTTCCTCGGCCCACATGGCGAATATTTACGTTTTGCCCAATCTGCAGAACCCGCGCAACAAGTGCTGAGTGGCTACCATCATGTGTAGCAGTCCCAACGCTACCGTGAGCCAAACGCGCAAATGCAGTTGAGGTGTTCTGCCATTTGTCTTCGCTTTGTTCGGGCGTTATTCAATGCATGCTGGGGTTGACGTTCACGTTGAAAGAGTAGCACAGAGAACTCCCCGCAAGGGAGGCCAACGCTTGCCGCGGCCCAGGCATCATCCCGGATCTCACGATTGTGAGCCCATGGCTGGTTCCAGCAACGCACCTGCTGTTGGCAGTGCTGGTGGCGTGGCGCAGATTGGGATTGCAAGTGCTCGGTGGCCACGGGCATGGGAGCCCAAACGTGGCTGGGTTTCCGGTTTCCATTCAAGTGGGTATTCACAATTTTCAGGCACCGCAATACATGTTCAAGTGCTTCGCGCACAAAGGTCGACTGTTGGCAAAAGAAAGTGACATTGCCTAGCCGTACTGTTTTCAATCCTAGGCCCAAAGAGGAAAAGCTGAATCTCTCCGGGCTGTCAACACGAAACATGGTTGCCAACAGTAAACCAAGTGCATCTCAGGTGGAATGCTGCGGGGTCGGAAGTTGTTTAAAGTGAGCTCGGGTCTTGCTTTGTCAACAAATTTCGGTCATGTCGCGCGCCGTGCGAGTTGATTTCTTGTGATTCGCGCTCTTCTGCCATGCGGCTGACTTCAATCGTTACTGGCAGAGCTCTCTCTCTCATACCGCCCTCGCAGCAGATCGTAGGTGTATGATACCAGTGGCCATTTTACACCCCAAATCCAGCCAACATAAAAAGCGGCTGCAAGCTGCAGGCTGGGCCATTGATGCTCGGAGCTGGTAGCAAAAGTGGACTGGCATTGTCAAGATTCCAGGGTAGCCAAAGGAGTTCCTGCACTTGTTCTCCCAATTTCAGGGGATCACCGGTTGCAGCCGTACAACACTGCAACTTCTTCACCCGTAGTGTTTGAGGGCGCGCCTGGATTTATTCCTTTGCAGGTTTACGGTTCCCTGACAACCAACACCAAGAAGCATTGATGCTGTGGGGGGTGGGTGGTCGCCACATTGCGAATGGTGTACACCGAAATCAGGCAAGATCTGCTAAGTGTCACATAACTAGTTTGCCCCTTTCCAGCCGGCCCGCACTTTTGGCTTTTGGCGCACCCATTGAAACAATTTATCCACCAGCTTGGGAGAGGGCCACCGAAAATGTTTCCAAGGACTTACTGATGCTGCCTTTGGTGCTTTACGAGTGGCTGATGAAGGCAGCCACAGCTCCTCGGCACCCGGAAGAAATACTCGGAAGAAATACCCGGAATGCCCGTGGCAGCTTTCTAATCCCTAGCGCCTTGTGGCTCAGGCAAACGGGCAAGGAAGCAAGAGTCCGGCACGACCATGGGGGGAGCGGAATGAGGTGGCCGCAGGAGGGGGGGTTTAAGAAGCCTGAGGCCCACAATCTGAGATGGTTCAGCCTGTGGATGAACTGTTTTGAAAATGCTTTGTAGAGCACCCGGAGATTTGGTCGACCAAGCCTGAAGGTTGCAAGCAAATCCACAGCCAACCATGCAGGAAAAATGTGGTTTCCAACACGCCCCCAACTTTAGACCTGCCAACTTTCTATCATGACTCCTAGAGGTGAACAGGTCGTGCTCTTGCGGGTGAATTGGCTGGCGCTTGCCTGATCAAAGGAGCATCCTCGGATTCGCATTACTGCCTTCCACCTAGGCGCAATTGCCCGACTCTGCGACCCAACAGTCCCATGGAGTCTTGACACTGCGCGCCCATGCGCGGCAACAACTACGTTTGAAGCCTGAAGTTGTTCGTGCCACGCGGAGTCACTGGAGCAACCCCCTCCCATGCTCTGGGAACCCCGGACCTTGCGAGCACAACTGGGCCCAGTTGCAGCCGCGCACCTAGCACCGTTCTTGATGGGAAGCTACGATATGATTTGGAAAGAGCGGTTGTTGTGCCACGTTGGAAAGCACATCGATTGGCTTTGTAACATTTGCAGGCTTGGCAAATATGCTCAAGTTGTCGTTGTTGGGCTTCAACGCGTCCGCTTCGATGCTGTCGCAACTGAAGGTTCCCCAGTACGGGAGCCCGTTGAGGGACTCCCAAGACATGAGCTGGCACTTTGTGCGGCCGCTGCTGACGTGCCGCGGCCAATCGGGCCCGGAAAGCGGGGCCCCGAACGGGCGGAAACTTGGACATTTGGATTGCCCCTACAAGCAGTCGAAGTTATGGTTCAAGTCATAGTTTGGCGATAAACATTCCCGACGGTCGGAGCATGGCTTTAATATTATTATGCCCGGCCCCTTCGACCCAACAGGCTTTGGCCCATTGAGAAGGAATTCGAACAACCAGGGCAAGCAGTCAACATGACCAGGGCGACAGGACTGGCGGAGCTTTGTTTGGTCCATAGCATGGAGCCACAACAGGTTGGGAGGTGCCAGTTGACCCGAGGTGTTTGCATTTAGCACAACCCGTTCCATTCTCAGAGATGTCGACATGACTTCAAGCATTTGAAGGCTGGAGCTGGCTTTGCCACATTCCCAAAGAGCTTGCGTCAGCCTCAGGGCGCGACGCGGCTTCCAGTCCACGCATCGATGCTAGCCCTGACTTGTCCATTTGTGTTCCACGCTTTGGGGAAAGTTCTTGGTGGAAGGATCCCTTTCTGTTTTCTGCTGGGTTCCTCGGGACTGTTTTTGATTGTTGTCTTGTCGTGATAGTGAATAGTTTAGTGTGTCCATTGTGCCCCACAAAAGGATTTGGACGGTTTCTTGTTTGCTTCACTTGCCATGTCAGCCAGCAAGGTGGCCTCGTCCTATTCTAAAGCAATTCCGTGCGTTCTTGAGTTTCTCCCGCGGTGGTCTCTAGGTCGCAGCGGAAAGTGCCAGAAGCACCGCCGCGAGGTGTTGGAGGGCAATGGAAAGCGAATTCGACACATGTTGGCCTCCCCACGTTGCGGTTCCTTAGGTGTTTAAATCTTTTTAGCTGTTGGGCTTCCATGAAACCCCAACTTTTATCAGGAGATCTGAGGACTTAGGACAGCCCGGACATGTTGTGTAGTTTCCTCAAAGGAGAACACCCAATTTAGGCCCATCTTCTGCTTCCAAACCAAATCGCTCCTGCAACTCATTTGTCAACACTATCCAGATGAGGTCGCAATTTTTATAACTCCTCTTTCTTGTTCAAAGTGACCACGCCGACAGCAGCTAGCTTTCATCAGAACATGCCCTCACCCAGGACATTGTTTGCTAGAGGTCTGAGCATTGACGCAAGCTGCTACTTCTCCAAGGGTAGTAATTAGTTCAGTGAACTTCTGGTCACGCGTCTGAGAAGCCAGTTTGAGACTCGGAACCACAAGCAGGCTCTTGCCTGCGTTGGGGTTTCAGCTGAAAGCGACCAAGACTGCGTAAATTGGGCACTGAAAGTCTGCGAAACACCGCCACAGCGAGCAACCAAGCATGTGTGTGTGTGTGTGCGTTTGATGGAATTGAACACACTATCACCCTTTCAGCAAGAAGCGATGGAAAAATCAAGGCTTAGTTAGTCTCATCCCCGAGTTTGTGGACTGTAAGCTTTTTGGGAAGTCCAGCTTAGTGCAAATAATCTTGAGCTTGTTTCGGCCAATCCACTTGGGAAGCAAGTGTTCTTGTTTGTCTGAGGCAGATGGCTGAATTTCAAATTCGTTGTCTACAGTAAGGTAAGATCTGTCACATTGAGGCCTACTTTCAATGGGCCGTGGCTGTCGGTTGGTTTGCTTGGGTCCGAATGGAAGCACGTCCTTCAAAAGTGTTAGCCAATGTCGCTGCAGGGCTACGTGCTGCTGCTCAGTTGCTGGTGCAGACTCTTCTGGCGACTTGGCGTTGCCGCATCTGAAAGACTGAGCGGCGCCCGGTGAGACGCAAGTATGAAAGTCATTCTATCCTAGCTTGCATATTGGCTTCAGGCATGTAGCTTGAAAGATTAGCCCCTAAAAATGCCCTAAGCAGCCCTTATTTCTTTTGGGGGGGTTCAAGGGGAGTTGTTTGGAAACTATGATTATATGTTTGTCAATCACGACATGGAACTGCCTGCCTAACAATGTGTCAGAAACGTCCAAATTGTTGATTTGCAGGATGTATAGAATCCACAGGCTGGTTGCCGGAGCCTTGGTGACAGCGCAAAGCTACTGTGAACTCCAATGACATGGAGGTGCATCCTCAAATTCGGGGCACATGGTGCATTACAGTCGCTACTGCTATTGATTGGGTCACCTTGGCTGCTTTGCTGCGGCTCCAACTCACAGCCTGATGGTTCTGTTTGCAGGAGGGTTGAGGCTGGCATAGTTTCTGTGACTAAGGACGGCCTCCTCGGCTCTTGCAGAAGCACCGCTCTTGTCACCATCTGCTTTCTCTACTGTGGCTTGCTTTGCCTTCTGGCCGCAGCAAGCGCGGCATCGAGGCCGATTGAAAGGGATTCCCCTAAACTGGCGCAACCTTTGGGTGGGGTGTGTATTATATACATCTATACATGATTCAACAATCAAAAATGGTACCGTGTCTTTGGGTGTTCCCACAACCCGAGCAATCTGACGCTCAACTCCGAAACAGCACCCTACACCCACGCAACCATTCTCAATCAACTAAACCAAGTCTAAACCAGCCAGAGCCACAGGACCACCTGTATGACCTATGATGATGGGGAGGGGGGGTGTCACCTCACATAGGTTCCCGGATCAACCCTGAACAAACCCACCCACAACCACCCAGGACCTGGTATGCATATAATAGAGACATACATGGGTATGAGTCAAAACTAAACCATCATAGGACCGCAAGTTTTAGTCCATGGTTCCCTTTTGCCAGGGTTCCGTTTTGGGTACCCATGTTTGACCCGCAGCCAGAAATACATATATATATATATATATATTTCATAACGACCACGGATTTTCGTCAAAATGAAACAACCGTGCGGAGACACACTTTCCGACGATGCTTCTGTTTCCCGACAAACGTCGGAAGAGGAAACCGGAAAATGAAAGTTCGCGCTTGAGGGAATCCATTATTTGCCGGGACTTAGTAAACAAGAAATCCGCTCGTAAACTTTTTTCAGGAGATTCCTCTTTTTCCGGGGCATGATTCACGGGAAACCTCCCTGGCCTAGGCTTAGGCTACACCTGCATGTACTTGCTGGGCGCGTGGCGCCTGGCCGTAGCAATCGGGGGGCTGCTGGGCTACCGTCGCGCGCTGCTCGTGCACTTGTTGGTGTGCTTCTTGAAGAACCCGACCTGCCAGGCAGCGGCGGGTGGGAATGGTTGGGCTCTTGCAATGGCATGTGCAAGCCTCAATTGGATTCCTGGTGCGACCCTAGAAAGAGCAGCGTCCCTTCGGATGAGGTGGTTTGGGAAATGGTGCTATCGCTCAATGATTATCAACGTGGGTGGGCGAGTGTCTTTGGTTGAGGCAGGGCGCCCATGTTGCTGTTGTCGTTCTTCCTCTTGGGGCGAAGCCACAGGGAAGCCATCCACCCCACTGGATTCTGAAATTGGCGAAAAAGGCAAAGATTGAAATACAAACAGAGAAGCAGAAAGGAAGCCCTGAATCAGGCAAAATGATGACAGTTCCTTGCCAGGCATGACCTGATGAAGATTCATTGTGCGAAATACTATTGCTACTGAGGTTCTTGCACCAAGGTTATTGAAAGAGCAGGTGTTGAGCGAAGTGATCAGAAGCTCGTGACCGCTGATGGAAAATTCACTTGGCCGCTGACAAAGCGAGGGGCGTCTTTTTTTATGGACAGTTCATTCGCGTACCAACCCATGTTTGACGCAATAGCAAGTCCCCCTGGGGATTATAACATTGTTTGGTGTTTTGAGGCACCGTGTTGTTGTGCCTACCTGCGTCCGTGCGCTTGTTAATTGAAGTATATATATATATATAATATACTGGCCTCTCATGGTTCCGCGTGTGTATAGTATTAATATGTTCTATATCTACATACAACTTATGAGGCCATGGGTGTAAGAACTGAATCCAGATTGACGTGACTGTTGCCAAAACTCGACTGTATTTGCCCATTCAGCAAAGGAAACGAGGTTGGTTTGCGCTCTGCTTCCCAAAGTCGCACGCCGCTCAACTTTCTTGCTGGTCGGAAAAAGCCGTTCTTGCCGCTTTCCTGGTGGGGCTGTTGAACGGGTAGGCGGGTAAGTTGGAAGGCGTGCCTGCGTGAAACCCATGCTTGTACTTCGTGCCTTCTACTTTGGGCAAGCAATTGTATTTTTGACGGCGGGAACCATGCCCTTCGTAAGCCTGGAGAGGGTGATTGTTGTGCTGCCCCGCATTTGGTTTGCAAGGCACGCTGGCACTCACCAACTTATCGGGCGGACCGCAACAGTGGATCCAAATTCAAAAGCAGTTGCCAAACTTTGGCCATAAAAGGTGCAAAAGGAAAGGGTGCTAGTTTTGACGACCACTCGGAATGACAGTCCTTGAGCCTGACGAAAACAAGCTGGCTCAAACAAGGTCCGCCATTAGAGGCTTGGACATTTCAGGTGCTGGCAGTGAAGTGCGACTCCAAGCTGCGAAGCTTTTGGCGACGGCCGGCTTCGGACAACTCGACGATCAGAGCCTTCCACGGCACTGGGCAGGAGGCGGCGGACCGGATTGTGCAGAGCGGGTTCCGCGCGTCCACAACAGGCCCGGGAGGAGAGGAGGTTGATGCAGCGGGCGGGACGTGTTGCACAGGATCTGGTTTTCCGGTTTTGGTTTTCGCCTTGCAGTAACTTAGTTGCCTTTCGGCTTTTGGGTCGACAAAAATTGGCTGGGGCTGACAAAACCGGACCCTCAAAGAGTAGAAGAGAAAAGGAAAAGGGCTTGCGGCCGGGAGGGGGTGAATGGGGAGTTCGGTTTGCGGTGTCAACTTGGAGGGGCTGAGTGGGGGGCTGCGCGTGCGGGAATCGATATGTCAAAATCCGTTTTGACGAAGTTCCTACCTTTTGCACAAACCACGTTCCAACAAAGCGATAGGGATTAAGCAAGGAGAGGTGCCATGTGCGTGTGCGTATGTTCCAAAAAAGATTTACTGGCCAAGGAGTGGTGGAATGGCAATTGGTCACCAGGGTTGCTGTTTGGTTGTTTGGAAAGTGTTGCAGATGTTTGGACTCTATCAAAAAAGCCTAAGGCGGGGGATCAAGGCCTGCAAGCTCCACAGTTTTGTGCCAATCTGATCGGTGTCAAGGAGGTCGCAACTTTGGAACACTCCACAAGCGTTCGTCATGCTTTTGGGCTCGCGTTGCTTTTTCCCAGGTATGCTTGGAAGGGGCGTCTACGTCTCCCGAGATCTGAACAAAGTGCTGGGCTACGGCGGCCATGACGGCGTCGTCCTTGAGCTGCGTGTGTCCGTGGGCAAGGCGTCGCACGGACGCGCACTTGAGTGTTCCTTGAATTTGGTGCCGTGGGTACTTGCGTTTTTTTACTGGCTTCAAAGGCATCAAACGTCGCCGTCAAGAACAAGGAACCAGTCGCTTCGAGACATGTCCATCGACGAGCAGCCGATTTGTGGAAACGATTTCTGAGTTCTGTGGTGTCAAAGGCGGAGAACCATCGCGGAAGTGTTGAGCCAACTAGCCTGATTCCCACAAACCTGCCTTGCTGCAAAGGAAACTGGCCATGCCCTGCGTCAACATTGAACCTGGTTTGTGCTGTGTGCGTCACAAAGTGTGACTCAATAAGCGCAATTGTGGTGCCGTGGACACGCAGAAGAACGATAGTGTACTATGAACACCGGGACTGTCTATCGCATGCAAATGGCGTCCCTCAATACATTCACGTAGATTTCAGAAATTTCAGAAAGGGTCCGGTCGACAGTCATGCTTACATGGTCCGGGCAAATGCCTGCTAGACTCCTACTCGTAACTCACACCCCGTGTCGAAACACAGCCCTTGCGAAGGTGTGCCTGGTAGACCACCAGCTGCATTCGAAGCAGCACGCCTGGCGAGTTGAGGCGGACACCGCCTGGGTGCCTTACCGCCACTTGGAGAACCCGGGGCTGAAGCAACCCGACTTGTAAACCCTTCTACAGCGGAAAGTTGTCTTGCTCGTGCAAGAGAGAAGCCACCAATTTGTTGAGTCCCACATTGGGAGACCAAACGCCGAAACAAGGACACTCACCGCCGTCTACGTTTCTGTGTGCTGAACCTCCGGTTGCCCAGGGCTGGTGTGAGAATGTGTCCAATTCAGGAGCACCTCCCCAAAACAAATATCACTGGTGTCATGCTGGCTTCCCTTGCGAAACACCTGGCACCCAAGACGAACCAATGTGAAACCAGACTAAAGGTCTTGGTTGCATCATTTTGCTTTTGGACGGCAACAGTACCAGGATCCTTAGTTCCTTGCAAAGGGCAGAAGTTGCCCAGGCCTGGTCTGAACGCGTTTTGAGGCTGTGGCATGGTGCCCTCTGGTCTGGAGGAGGCGGATAGACGGCTTGGTGTCCGGTCGTTTTCCAACATCGGGTCACATTAGACATCCCTTCAAACTGTGCCTCGTCTAAACAAGCAGCCCCCGAGACAAAACCCTGGAAATTCTGACAAGCCAAATAAAGCAACACTCACCTGCATGGACCCCAGATGGCACGGCAGATTTCAATAGCGACCAGCACCCTGACTCCCTCACCCAACAAGACGCGCTAGTAAGCCACCACACCTTGAGCATCGCACTGCCTGAAGACACGACCCTTTTCGTGGGCTGCGCCTGTGCGGTCCGTCCACTTCGCCCAACACTGTTGGCTGGGAACCAAAAACAGGAGCCTACGTGGCTCTGGTGAAACATTCCAGGAAATCCGAAAGATCGGCGTCCCAATGCAGTGCCAAAGTTCTTCAATTTGTTTTGCGGGGCATGGAGAGAGAAAGATCCTGGAGCACTCCAAAACAACAGCCTGACCGGCACCACCAGACAAAACACTCTGATCAGCACCCAAAACAGCACCCTGACTGCACCTTGAGCACACCAACCTGACCAGCCCGCACCATTGACCGGCACCCCAAAACAGCACCCTCACTGCATCGCCAAACAAGAGCCGCCAGCAAGCATCATCGAAACAGCGCCCTGATCAGCACTTACAGCAGCACAGAACCCACGACAGCAATCCGGTTGCATCGCAAAACAAACAAGCACCGCCAGCAATCACCACAGCACCTGGCCACCCAAAACGGCACCCTGACCAGACCCACAACTGTGCCCTGGCCGAGTCGGCACTGCCAGCAGCTTGACCATGTCCCAAACAGCACCGCCTGACCAGCACCTGCAGCACCAACCTCGCCAGAATTCGCGAAACAGCCTGCCCCTCTTTAGACGCAAGAAGCCCTTATAGCTTTCAGCTATCTCGGGAAAACAGCACCTACCAACTGCATGCCCCCTCAAAAGTGCGTCACCCCGAAACTGCATGCCTCCCTACCACCCTGCCGTCAATCTCGACCTCAACAGCACCACCCAAACCAGCACCTGCGCTAGCAACTCAAACTGCATCCCCCCTTGCACCCTGCCGTCAATTTCGCAAAAGCAGCACCCCCAAACTGCATTCCGCTTGCACCCAGCCTTCAATCTCACAAAACTGCGCCGCGCCGCCACCAGCGCCTCAAACAGAGGACCCAGCCGGCACTCTTGCAATTCACTTTCCCCTCTTTATTAGAAGTTAGAACGTCTAGCTTTCAGGTATCTGGGGAAAGATGGTAAGAAACGCTGAGAATAACATACCCAGCAGTAGCAGCCTACCCAACTCAGTGAATAATCTCATTTGTGACCCTTTTCTTGAAGACATGCTTTTGAGGTATGCCCCCACGCACTGTAGGGCAAACGCGCTGCTGCAAGCCTTGGTGTGTAGCGGTTCAACCTGCCTGTACCAACTGCGCAAAGCTGGGAAACGCAATGAGTTTCTTTACTCAATCCAAATGCATGCTAAGTTTTCTTTCGGCCGCCCTTGTCATCCCACACAACATCAAAATTTACCATCTTGCGCCCACTCAGACAACCAGTGCGCTTCATGCAGCCCACTGTTTCTTGCACAAGCAAAGAAAATAGCACAACACAAAGTACGACACAATATCAGAAAACACTACCAAATGCCAGAAAATCCCAGAACAAAACCAAAACTGCCACAAACAAGTAGATCATGAGAAAGAAGCTCAGGTACCACATAGTCCTTTTACCTTGCGTTCGGGGAGCGAGACTCTGCCCATGTTTCCCGTGCAAAATTTGCAAAACACGGATTTCATGCAACCACAACCAACCACAAAAACAACAAACAGAGAACTCGTAGCATACTTTTCCCACAAATGGCCTTGAGGTTTCTGGCCATGCCTCAATTGGATTTTTGCAGGAAAATCCTAGCCTTGGACAGCTGTGAAAAGACCCCAGTTGAAGGAATACCTACGCAGTTTCTAAGACAACACCTGGGGGCAAGCAGCGAGCATCCAAAAGGGGCTTCCTCCATTTTTCGCCACCCGAGTGCTCTTGAGTCGAAGACAGCCCCGCGCTGGCTGAGCTTTGAAGAGAAACCCATAAAGGCCACCCATTTTGTGGGACCTGGTTTTGAATGGAGCTCCAGTGTTGTTTTCGCGGCTCTGCCGGCGCCGGGTGGAGGAGCCATGTTGGAGTCTCGTCTTTGCTTTCGCCTGGCACTTTTTTGCGTGTTTGTTTGTCACATGCCTCTCAGCATTGTGTGTCAACGTCTTGTTGCTGTGAAGTATTGTTGTGGGTTGCAGCACGACTCTGCCCTTTGTTTGTGTCCCGCTGTGAGTCCGCAGCGTGCCTTAAATTTCTAGGTTGCTTCCTAGCATGCGTGCGTGCGTGCGTGCGTGCGTGGGTGGGTGGGTGGGTGGGTGCGTGCGTGCGTGCGTGCGTGCGTGCGTGGGTGGGTGGGTGTGTGTGTGTGTGTGTGTGTGTGTGTGGTGCGTGCGTGCGTGCGTGCGTGCGTGCGTGCGTGCGTGCGTGCGTGCGTGCGTGCGTGCGTGCGTGCGTGCGTGCGTGCGTGTGTGTGTGTGTGTGTGTGTGTGTGTGTGTGTGTGTGTGTGTGTGTGTGTGTGTGTGTGTGTGTGTGTGTGTGTGTGTGTGTGTGTGTGTGTGTGTGTGTGTGTGTGTGTGTGTGTGTGTGTGTGTGTGTGTGTGTGTGTGTGTGTGTGTGTGTGTGTGTGTGTGTGTGTGTGTGTGTGTGTGTGTGTGTGTGTGTGTGTGTGTGTGTGTGTGTGTGTGTGTGTGTGTGTGTGTGTGTGTGTGTGTGTGTGTGTGTGTGTGTGTGTGTGTGTGTGTGTGTGTGTGTGTGTGTGTGTGTGAAGCGTCCTGGAGCACGGACGGAAATTCCACATTGCAGGGGGACCAGGCGTCTTGCTGCTGACCTGGTCTAACAAAGCTAGGCAGCAAGACGGGATACCGGAATTGGCCATTCCGGCGTACCTGCCATCCTTTCGTGACCTAATGTGTTTCCTCGGTTTACCACTGTTTGCTTCATGTTCGTTTTCGATGATGTGACATTTGCACTGCAGATTGATTTTTTCATGCCTTTTCAGTACAATCGCGTGTCTGCAAGAGCAGCCTCTCGAGATAAGTGTGTTTACCCACGGCCTGTCCGACATGGCGCTGTGGGCTGGACTCGCCACATGCGGGAGCCCCCTGCGAGGGGAAGACCGTTCATACGTTCAAATTCAACCTGCCGTTCAGCGCGTTTGACCACGATCAAGGCTGCAGCTTGAGGTCTTAAGGTATTCCGCACCCAAATGGTGCTCTGCTGGTTTCATGCGCGTTGCACTGCCTGCACTGCCTGCCTTTGAAGCAAGGCTGCACCCACGAGGTTTCAGGTTCCTAAGCTTCATGCGCCAGTGACGAGTTGGTCATACACCAACTCTGCAATTCGTGGTGTTTATGGAAGCTTTCGTCTCGGATGAGTTCAGTTCAGATTCATCGGCATAGCCACATGAGGCACTTTCATGAGGCCACTTGACAGGCACCTCTGAGAACCCCTTTGTGCTCGCATGCATTTGCACCATTGACGCATTTTTGCTCGCATGCATTTGCACCATTGACGCATTTTTGCCGCAGTTGTGGTTTTGTTTCACCCCTTTCCAACCTTCTCTCTCCCTTGCGAGATGGCTGGACACCAGCTCTATGACATGATGCATTCGCTCCTGCACAGCATTGCGACCGGCACCGCGTCCGGCTCACCAGGCAATTGTGGACCGAACTTGCAGCTGTCATCCCAGATGACGCAGCCCATGAACCTTGTACCGTCACCCAACTCGCAGACGGCATCCTTCACACCTTTCCCCATGATGCCCTACGGCGGCCTCTCGAACTTTGGCAACCCGATGGCCATGATGCCCTACGGTGGCCCTCCCAATTACGGCAACTTGGCACCTGGCACCATCATGCCTTTCATGACTCAGAGCAGCATGCCATCTTCACTGCCCGAGCCTCAGCCGGCGCGCGCGCCCGAAGCTGCCGCTGCGGCTCCTGCCGCTACCTCCTCAACCAACCACCCTCCCCCGGACACTCGGCACCATCCCCACTCTCGCAGATCCCGTTCCCGCCACAGACAGCACCGACACTCCCACTCCCACACCAGCCACCATCGCAGGCACAACAAGTCGCACCGACGACACGACACCCGACGATCCCGCAGCTACAGCAGGTCACGTTCCCCTTCCCGACACTTCCACCACTCCCGACGTGCACACCACTCCACTGTCTCCCTCCGCTCCCGCTCCCCCCGACACAGGTCCCACCATCGACACTCCCCTGCACCCAGAGCCACGACTTCGCACCGACCCACTCACACTACTCATGATTCCACCTCCTGGCGCACTTCCGGGAAGGATTCCAACAAGTCTCAATGGTCCTCCTCACACTGGCGGAACCAATCGTGGGGATACCCACCACAGAACAAAAACCGCTGGGACATGCACCACCATGGCGCCAGCCACACCGGCCACCGAAACAACCAGGACAAACGATCGTCCTGGTCACTGCAGCACCATGGGCAGCAACCCCACCCCACTTCCCGCACCGGCCACCACAACACTAGCTTGCCCCCTCACCCAGCACCTGCGGCGGCCTTCACTTCCACTCCCCCTCCCCCTCCCCGACCCACGCCGGCTACTCCTCACCCTCCCCAACCCCCCTTCGACAACACCGGTGATTTGGATCCCCCTCCATCGGAGGCGGACATCAATGCCACCACCACTTCCGACAACCGGTGGCTTGATCTATGGAGAAACGTCATGGACACGGCCAAGACTGACCCGCTGCGAGTTCCCACGCCTAGGGAGTTGGGGGAGCTGGACCCGCTTCCAGCCTTGGACATCTCCAGGGTGGAACAGACTAAGGCCATTTTGATGGACCTGGACCCTGCTTTGCCACCTTCACATGCCGATCTCCTCGCGGAATGCTGGGAACTGCGAACCATGGACACGGATGATCCCATA